AGGACCAGATCTTATAGAGGTCTACGACAGACCCTCAGAGGACCAGACGAGAATTTCTTTAACATTTATTATTCCTGCCTCTGTTTTTATTTTGTTCTCTCTCATTTTAACATCTTAACGGTTCAATTTTATTTATCTCTGCCATAAACACCTTGTAGCTTTGTTCCAGAACTTTAAATAAAGTTTGTTCAAATGTCCAGAGTGCAGGACAACGTCAGGGCGTTTCTGCTGTAAAACCGGGACTACATGTGGTCATAATGTTATGGCTGATTGACAAAATTTATTTCTGATATTCTGATATTTAAATGTTCTTCTCCGTGTCATGTAAAATTAGCAGGTGATGACTCTGGTTGGAGTCATACTGAAACCATGTCAATGTAACTTCCGCTGCAGAATAATTTACAGATTTAAATAAAACCTGATTTCATGACAGTTTGTTGTGTGCCCAGCATCTTCACTGTGGAGTGTTTACCTCCAGCAGCTCAGCCGAGAGCTACAGGTAAACTGATCCATGAGGTCAAAGTTCAGCCAGGTGAGCTGCGGATGCACGTCTCCTACCTGTGAGTCATAACAGGGACCAGGTGAGGAAACCCCGCAGAGACAGCCCGCCTGTTGTTGTCCGGTCAGTCCACCGACATACCGGACAGAAAGACACCGGGAGAGGAAACAAAATGTCGCCCCTCTGTCCACCGAGCCGTGCGGCGCCTCCTCCCCGGCTCAGCTCGTCTCCTGACGGCGTACAAAGATATTAAATCCCGCAGGAGGCGTCCGGCTCTTCAGCTCACGGCCGCCATGTTGGACTGCCCAGCTGTCAAACACCGTGCTGTGTTCAGGACGCCTCAGAAAATCAGGCTTCTTGCTGCGTTCATGATACCTCGGACAGTTCTGCGAACGATCCAGCTGCCGAACAGATCAGTGTTGGATCCGTTCCAAAATGGATCCGTTTCCCCAGGAGCAGAGTCCTTAAAACTGTTGTTGAAGCGGTGATAATTTAAGATCTTCGTATATAAAAGAGCAAAGCACGTTAAATGTTTTCTGTGTTCAGCTTGAAAATAATACTTGTACATCACATCGGTCAAAACAGAAATCTTCATTTTTTCTATTTACTTTTTCATTTTATATAGGCCCTGTGATCTGTTTTGGGGTCCCTTGGATTGATTTAATACATCAGCAATTTTTAAGCAATCTTAAGTTTCTTAAGAATTCTAAGAATCAGAATATTCTTATTTTTTCTTAATAAGAATTCTTCTTAATCTTAAGAAGTCATTTCTTCCATTTACTTTTCATTTTATATGCTTTTTTTTATCATTTCTACTGTTGTCATCTGTGTTCTTTGATTAAAACAGGTCTCTCTTGTAGATGAGTCCTTGAAGATCAGTGAGACTAACCTGTGTAAATAAAACTTGAATGAACGAATGAACACAACACCTGTGGAATTGGATCAAATGCTGCTCAGATTAACTGAAGCAATAAAAGTTTTAGGTTTTAATTTGTACATTTTATTTTTTAAACACATTTCTAAATCTAATGCAACAAACCCTTTTTTTTTTGTCCTAAAATGTATAATTTTTTTAAATAACTTGTAGAAATAAAAGATGTACCCTATTTTCTGTCGTATAAGTCGCAGTTTGTTGCATAGATTTGCCAGTCCTGTGACTTATACACCAAAGCGACTTATATTTTTTCCCTCATATTCATAACACCATTTCTGACTGAGGCTTTAAATGTACATTCATACTGACATGAACCAGAGTAAACATTACCATTTGCAGCTGCCAGAGGTGCGAAAGAGCCCTCTAGGCTTTTGACAACTACCGGTAGGTATAAATGTTGTTCCTGTACCGCTACCCCCCCACCCCCACCCGTCAAACATTTACCATTAAAATGCATTTATTAAGAAAAAAAACTGAGAAACACCTTTGCTATAATGTCGAATAAACAAATAACTGTTTTTAAATGTTAATTTTGGTTAAAAAAAAATT